TTTTTTTTTTGGGGGGGGGGGTTAATCCTCACCTGAGGATATTTTTTCCATTGCTTTTCAGAAAGTGGAAAGAAGGGGGGGGGACGGGACGGACGGGGACACACGACAATGGACGGACACGACACTGATGTGAGACAGACACATGGACTGGTTCCTCCCACACACCCGAGGCAGGGAACAAACAGCAACCCAAGTATGTGCCCTTGACCAGGAATTGAATCAGAGACCCTATGGTGCATAGGCTGACATTCTAACTAGTGAAACACACCAGTCAGAGCTATTTTTGCCTTTTAGTGGAAGACTCAAGTACATAGTGAATACATTTTTGAAAAGTCCACGTTTTAAAACTGTAACTTGCAGTTTAGAATCGCCAAGCTCAACAAATCAAAGTTCACCATTCTTTTCAGTGTAAATTTCATTAAATTAAAATGGTCTCTGAGCCAAATAGCTTAAGAATGCTATAAGGTTTCTGACCTGAGATATAATAAGGTCCCATATTAAGACGGTTTATTAGTCCTGACCCTACAACCAAATAATACTGCAATGTGATAAACCTCTTTTCATTTTTACAACTGTCAACTTTATAAGGGAAAGGTAAATACATTACTAGGAATTTTAGGAGAGTGTGTTAAAACACAACAGAACAGAACAAAAAGCCCTAGCTAGGAGTTCTGGAAGAACTTCATGGAAACAGAACTTTAGCTGGAATAACTGTTTTTAAGGATAGACTTCATTCCTTGGGATGACATTTGGAAGATTCTTGGGAAAGTCCCACACCAAGCTGTTAAGCGGAAGCCAGAGGAGGAAGGGTGCCCACTTGCTGAGGGAAGAATAGCCAACCCCTAAAACTCTTGGAAACAGAGACAGTCTAAAAGGCTTCTTGGGTGGGGGGAGAGAGGGAAAGAAAGGTAAAAAATGGAACAAAGGAAAATATACACAAGGAGCCACACAAGTGTGAATTTTGCACATATTAATCATGGGAATGGAAAGAAACAAAGATGTTAATCGTGTACTTAAAACTGCAAGGGTGAAGCTTTATTAACAGTAAAATCAAACTTTCTGGTCAGAATAGTCCAGTTATCTCTGAAAGATGTTAAATCATATACTGAATCAGAGAATTGTAAGATTACTACAGCTAGAATAGTTTGGAAGTAATCTAGACTAATCATCACTAAAAGGTAGTTAGTTGGCTATGAAGTTTTTGTGAGATCACAGCAAAATGAGAAAAACAAGAACATGTTTTTACTATATAGATTTCTCTTATCCCCAGCACAGGACTTACTAGTTAAGGACACAGTTGTGTCTGCTATTGATTTTCATCTACTTCCCTACTTATGTAGGTACCATCATTACACGTTTACTATACATGTGAGGAAAAGGAAGCATGGCATGGTCAACCACCAACTTTATGAAGGTTCTGCTGTTAGATAAACTGAAGAGCTGCAAGTTGAACCTTGGTCTGACTGCCCAAGGGCCAGCCTTTGTTTTTAACACATTTGGGAATGAGGACTCCTAGTTTGTTATTCTCATTAGTTAGTGAAATTCAAAAATATCTGAACAAAGGGACAAACCCTGCCCTCAGTCAAAGGCTCAAAGAAGTGTATTAGCACTTACATCCACTACAGACAACACAGGGATACTCACATTCCAATCTAGAGAGGTCACGTCCTTGTTGCTTGGGACATCTTGCCCTCCTTCCCGTATACAATGTCTAAGTACTAATTGTGTTGAGCCACTGGTGCTATTTTCACTAAGATTCCATATTCTTGCTGTGGAGTCTCCAGACCTATAAAGTATGTAATATATTTTAAATCCCCATAATGTTCTCTAGTATCCCAGATTTAAAAACAAAACAAAGCATATTTATGTCCTAAATTAATAAGGCAAATAAAACCAGAGTTATCAGGAATTTCCATTGCCAGTATTTTTTTCTCTGCCTCCATTCTGAGGGCCCCAAGCACTCCTGAAGTAGTGAGTTTAATGAAAACTTCTAAGATCAGTTTATGAAGGAATGAAGATTTATAGAGGCAAAATGACACTAACAAGCAACAACAGAAACCTGAAAAGGTAAGAAATGTATTTATAAAATGTAACAGGTTCAGTAAGATATTTTTAAAAACCCGTTTGGTTTCACTTTGAGAAACATACCCCGATGCCAGGAGATCACTGACGGGGTTCCAGGCACAGATGAAGACTTCAGACTCATGGCCCCGCAACACAACGGCCTTGTTCGGGGGGATCTCAACGTCCCCATCCACCTCCATCATATCAGTATGATTGTCTGCAGCAACGGAACGGGGAAGAGTCCAGTCAGGTAGAGCGGCAACACACGGGGGAAACACCTCCCGTGTAACATACAGGTTCATTTGACTACACAGTACTGAGCACATGGAAAATGAATTCTTATCTTTAGTTAAGTATGACCATGCTATTTTAAAAAGCTACATGTATCTGAGAGTGTGTTTAGAGGCGGGGGCTGGAGGATGAGGGTAGAGAGGGACTGCAAAAGGTTAGACCCACAAGCATGACTGAAATGATAAAACGGTTTGAACTCAATATAATCCATGCCAATACTATTCTGAGTTCCCGCCAGTAGGGGTTGCTGATATCATTCCTATAACATGAGAGTTGCCTTTATATCTCCATGTCAGAGCTTCACTGTATTTGTTAATGACTAGTATGACAAATTTTATTTAGGAATCAAATGCAGACACAAAATTCACTTAACCATAGAAAAATGGTTTCTAAATATTTTCTAGAACAAAATAAAATCCACGAGTGTAAACCTAGCTTTCTGGAGCTTTAGGGATGAAAATTTGAACTATGTGAGACGAGTTAGGGGAACAAGTTGGCCTAAATGATAGAGATGATGTTTTTTCAGCTTAGAAGAGGCAAAATTCCTATGAAGCAAAACACTTCTTATGAAAAGGAATTTTTAAAAATTCTGTCTCAGCTCACTTGCTATTGTATGTGCTCCATTCTCCTCCCCATTTGCTGTGTTTTCTCCATTTTTTGCAGATCCTTGTTGGTTTGTGGCAGCTGCAGCAGCTGCAGCAGCTGCTGCTTGTTGCTGTGCAAGCTTGTCTCTGTAAGCTTGTTGTCTTGTTTGTACTACATCAGGCATTACGGCATCTATCAGCGACAGAGACTCTATTGGTCGACCATCGAACAAGGTACCATCCTGGATTTGGAAAATTGTGAGAAGAAAAATCAAAGGTACCACATTAAGGCTAATTTGTATTCACACAAGTCCACAGCAGAAATAAAAACCTCCATTCTGAGACAGAACACTTATAGATAACTTTCTGGATGCGTGTAAGAAGGAAAGAAGTCAGAAGAAACTTCAAGAAGCAATTGGAAATAGCTGTTTAATTTTTCCTTCTCACCTGGTTCTTACTGTTGTAAGTTGCACAGATAAAGCTGAAATACTGAAAGGAATAATAAAAAGTAGGCCCAGATAATAGAAAGGTTTATTAATTATATTCCAAAATTCTGTTAGTCAAAAGCAATGACCAATATGAAATCATTCACACAATAAGATTTGGTACCACATGATAGTAAACACTTCTTTAAAACCAAAAACTCTTATTAAATAGCTTTTTTGGACTTAAAAGTTTCTTGTGATTTGATAAAATATTAAAACAGAAAGGCCTCAGATATTATCCCATATAACATTTCATTTTACTAATGTTGGAGTGCAAGCCCAATAAGGCTTAAAAGACTTGGTGAAGTTACACCTAGTCAAAGGCAGCCGGCATCTCTTAGCCAGAACTACTCAAAGTGTGATCCAAGGACCACCATCGCCTGGTAACTGTTAGAAATGCAGATTCAAACCTATGGAATCTAAATCTCTGAAGGGCTTAGGAACTGTTTTAACAAGCTCTCTGGGGGAGTCTAATGTGCCACACCAAGAGTTGAGAAGCACCATCTTAACTCACAGGCTGCTGCTCTTTAATTTTACGGACTTGCTATAATTTTCCAAAGCTCCTCTCATAGATATTAGGAAGTTCACAATTAATAAAAAGTTCTCCAGTGAGCACAAGAGACACAAACACTGAGCAAGTCAGAAATTAGCTAACACTATTTGTATGTAAAGCCTGGCTCACTGAAGCCAATGACCACACTCTCCTGATAATCTGCAGGGTGTGAGGGGGCTCTGAGCTGCAAACACAGCACATCTTTCTAAGCTGTTGAGTGTAATGCAGTATTTGAGGAGTAGGTGAAAGTATTTTAATTTATAAGTAACTTAAAAATATCAAAACCAACACAGACTCATTGTGAAGTACTACATTAAATCTACACAAAGTTTTTCAGATAAAATGAGACTTCATCTCTGGCTACCACTGGAAATTGTTTATCACCCTCTGTAAAGGATCCTTTTGGAGGGGAAGTGCTCAAAGAGAGTGAGGACACATTTAATTTTTTATTAGCAAATTTCTCAGTTACAGGGGTGAGAAAACAAAGACAATAAAATCAATATTGGTATACTATTAATTATAGTAATAAATACTAATATAGAAACCATGAATGCTTCAGTTTGGGGGTTTTTTAATCTTTATCTGGGGGTATTTTTTCCATTACTTTT